ATTGTGCTCTTCCTCATCAGACAAGTCAATAATTTTATTCTAGATGTATCCTCAAGGGTAGCAAAGATCAGAATCTGCACAAGATAAAAAGAATATTTTTTCTTCCTAAATAAAGACCTTAGGAAAGTAAATTCATAACATTTTAACAGTATAGAGCTGATGCCAGGTATTTGTGGTGAATTTTATCCTTAGGATGCTCTTTTGTTTTTCTTTGTTGTAATCTACAAAAAGATGTTTTAAGAATTCTCATAAAATGTTTGGACTTTGCTTAATTAGTATTACCCTAGTCATATGCCAGTTGTGGTCTGCCTGGAAAGCCAGCAGCATGCTACGTACTGAGATAGCATTGAAAGTACAATGTGGGCAGAAGTTCAATAAAACCAAAGGACAGTTCCACAGTATTGTTTGGGAGGAGAAAAGTCAGATAGGATTATTGAGTAAGCTTTCTGAACAAGAAGAGGAAAAAAACCAACCTCTGTAAGAGAATCTTTGCATACCAAAACCAGCCTATTTCCAGCCAAGCTTTATCAAAGTTTCTATTGCATTCTAATGCAGGGATGTGCATTCTGATGTAGTTATGCAGAGGTGATACAGCTAGAAAACAAGAAGTACTCTTACAACAAATAGTGAAGAACAAAAGAGAAGATAAAGGGAATTAGTTTCTGGTGTTTGGCAACCAGAATTGGGATTCCAGCTGGGGTGAAGGATCTGTGGAAGTGGTCATGCTATGAAAGACAGAAAAAACTGTGCTGCTATTGAACTGCTGTAGTCAGCAGGATCCCAGAGAAATCACAAATGAAAACTAGAACAGGTGATGCCTGCTTTCTTATTTTCAACTCATCTTTTGGAACTGTTTCCTGTTTTATAATTGAAAACTTTATTCAGTCAAGCAAAGTTTTAGATTCTTGATCCTTGGCTAAAAAGAACTTGCTATTTGCATTTTTGAGTTTTTGTCTGAGATAAACAGTCATTTCTAAATCTATCTTGGTTTAGCTTGAAATCAGTTGAATAAACCTGTATCTTCAAAAAGCTGATACATTTGATTATATAGTTAGTATGTTTTAATCTTGCTTTAGATGTCTTCCATTAAACCATTGACTCAAATTATGTAACAAGGGAATATCTCTGAATTTGATAGTCCTACAATTTTTTAGTAGTTCTCCTTTTTAAGATATTAGGAATGAAAAATAAAAATATCACATGGTTTGAACAGCATTCATCCTTCTTGGTTATTTTAAATTTTACATATATAATGTGTAAATACATAGAGAAAATTCCTGCATAACCTGGTCCATTTTCTCTTTTTTGAGTCAATAAAGTATAGACTGAAAAATTTTCACAATTTAATTTTAAAAATTTATTTTCCTCTGTCTATTGTGAATGGAGTTGAAATGGAACATTCGATATGGATATAATATTCTAGTAAAGTTCATTTTTTATCTGAATAAAATTGGTTTATTTACAATCATCATTAATCTAAAGGAGTAGTTCAATCTGTAGAACATGGGAGAATAACATAAAACAAATGAAGACTTCAGATAATATATGAAATCCTAACATTTTAATTTGGAAAGACTACTTGGATCTTCTTGCCAGGTCCTCTCTTTTTACATCAAAAGGGGCAATGAGAAAAATGAAGCTTAGTAAGTGTTATGGTAAAAATGGAAGCATTATAATTTCCTAATCTAATTTTAAAAGTTGAAACACCTCTTTAAGTTATGCCCACAGTTTTACATTTCTTCCTTCTTAACCCGTTTTATTATTCAATTATTTTCCAGTGAAGTAATTCTGAAAATTCCTTTTGTAATCCAAATTCAGTGTTAGGTCAATACTAGCTTTTGGGTTGGTATTTTTAAGCCTTAATACTACAGCTGTACTTTGACCTAGAAACCTATTTTAATTTGATAGTTGTAACAACTATTTTTTTAACATCTGTCTGCAGTTTGTTTTACATGCAAGTATTTACTTACAATTGAAATATTATTATTACATAAATAATATAAAGCCTCGGAAGAAACATTTGAAAACACTTTACGAGGATCAGTGGAAAGTAGTTATTGGAGGAAGATACTGGATCAGTAGATTATGCAGTATGTAGCTGTCTAGTGACTAGCAAACGATCTTTCACTGTGCTCTTGAGAGAGTGCATTCAAAAAGACTAAGTTCCTGTTTGCAAATCACAGTCCAAAGCCTTTCTCTCATGTGTTGTCAAAGGGTTTTCTTTCTCCGAGGAGCCAATGAAGTTTTTCCTAGATAATTATTCAAAAGTAACCCCTTTGGGCTGTCCTTTTAATTGTTTTCCAGGTGCCACAAACTGCAGATTTCAGCAAGAAGTATATTTAGATACAGCACAGCAGGAAGTTTTAAAAGCCAGCAGCTTCTGCAAAGGATTGTCAAGAACAATCTGCAAGGAGACTAGTTCTGGCATATAGATTTTAAGCTGAAACAGTACAGGAAAGGAAGTGCTACTTGCCAGCTCTCACCACCATATGCTTTATTATAATGTAATGTAAGAAGAATATGGAGACAGCAGCTGCTCGAGAGGGAGGTGGCCACTTGTTAGATTTTTGAAACCTTTCTGAAATGTCTGTTCATTTTCTTTTCACTGGTATTTTTCCCCTTGCTTACGTATTTGCATTCAAAAGATACTGAAAAAAATAAATCTATTTTTAGACCACAAGAAGAAGAGAGTGTGATCTGCTTTTTGTTGACATAAAAATAATTTTAGAAGGATTCTAACATTTAGTTTTATATATAGTGAAATGTGGGTAGATTTTTGTTTTCTCAATATCTATTCACATCAGGTCATGCTGAAATGATATGCATAGATTACCTGTTGTCTAGGATTGTATGTCTTCAATGGAAGAAAAAACCTGTCTTTCATTAGTTTCCAGTGTGTGTTTCCTAGTGTCATGGTCTCATTCACAGTAAGTCAGTGTCAAGATTCGCTGACTTCAGTGGCAGAGAGAACCAAAGCGTAAGTGAGGATTTAGATCTAAAATGGACAGAGTTTGATATGATGTGCACAGAGAGATGAACCTTTCCTAGTATCACTACCCAGGCAGTGAAGTTGAATGCTTTGGCTTTGAGAAACCTGAAGTTCTCAGCATGTTTCAGGAACTGTGTGTCTGCAATGTCATGAAAATGAGCCTGATTTATTTAAACAACACTGTATTTTAAAGGATTTTTTTTTTTTTTTGGCTCCTAACTGAGATTTTCATATCCACTGAATGTAACAATCCTTCCAGATACACATAACTACAAGCTCTTGGGTTTTAAATTAGGGATTCTTAAGTGAATTTGAGGATCCAGAGGGAAGTTACATCACAGTATAATGGGATTATAGCAGGGCAAGTTGTTATAGCATATAATAAAATTAATATATCATATTAGCATTTTTGCTGAGTGTCAGTGTTTTACCTTAACCCTGGAGTAATGCTAAAATGTCATAGCCACGCAAATAAGACCCATATAACTCGGTAAAAATGATGGTTCGTATAGAAGAAAGATGTTACAATTCTTTTTGGAACGATAAATCTCTTTGAGACAGAGATTTTGAGATTATTATGTATAGCTCACCATAGATGCATCTCTCTGAAAAAGAAATGACATTAATCTGTCTGTCACTAGGTATGTATTTTGCTGGTGATAGAAGGATTATTATTATGGAAAAATCTGTGTTTATTTGCTTACTTCTGTTCTACCCCAGTCTATTATTATCTATTTGACCTTCATTTTTTAAACCAGCTGCAACTGGTGGTTATCTGGAATCCTTAATTACTTGCTAATGCATACGTAAAAGTCCCCTTTTCCGTTTTGTGGCCATACTTGTTGCAAGAATTCAAATCTAAGTAGGATTACTGATTTGCAACTTTAATCACTCCCTACATTACCCCTCATCTCGCTGAAGGGCAACGTAAGGAATTCCATCTACCTGGGAATCCCATTTCCGAAGCAGACTGGATTTTAAAGTCTGCAGTGAAATTAAACATGGATTCTGAATATCGTCCTGGAGTCCTCATTCTGCAAAATATGAGGCAAAAGTTTAAGTCATGTTGAAAATGTTGACTTAGTCGTGTCTTGAGTCAAATCAGAACCTGTTTTCAATGCAAATTAAAGTTGTGAAAGGACTTTCCCTTCTTTTGGTTCCCATAAGTATAGTTTAGCCCTAGCTTAAGCAACACTTTTCTAATTCTACTGAGTACAAGAAAATTTGTTATCAACAGTCTATAGTTCACACATGAGTCACTTTAAGTGAGTCTGGAGTCTTGACAATGCAGGAACTTGGGTTTGGGGTGTATCACACCTCCAAGAAAGTTTGTCAATGAAATGTGTGTTTGTTTCTTTATATTTTAAATGGGAAGGTAAAGCCTTCCTCATCCCTAGAAGGACTGAAAATTGTCAGGAGTTGCAAAATGTTTAGCCTACTCCATTTTTTCTAACACATAAAGCATTTATTGTCTGAAGCAGCAGACTAAAGTATGGTAATTGTAGAAACGGGGACTTTTAGATGTAGAACTATTATTTGATAGATTGTTGAAAATATCTTTTTCACTGAGATTTACTATTATAATTTATTTTTACATTAAAAGTATCTGGTAGATAAAAAAGAGCAGATCTTTCTTTAACTCACCATTATAACCATGAAAGTTGGCAAAACAATATAATTCTAAGCAAGTGAGAAAAGGAAATACTCTGTTTGTGACAAATGAGAATGAATTATTTTTGAGTTTAAAGAAAGCTACTTAATTTTTAATGATGTGTTGCCTAACCATCACAAGCTATTCAACTGCCAATGGGTAATTTAAAAGAAAAGAAATGCCAGAGACCAAATGTAGCTATTTGTCTAGAGAAATTTTCCTCATTATGAGAATAGCTGCTTCGCGCCTGTTATATGTGGATTTTTTTGCTAGCGTTTAAAAATGGGAAGACACATGACTGCACAGTTAAGAGTTTCAGATCTTAAACTGTACACAGTAACTTCGTTATTAATTGTTCAGAAGGCATTATGTACTGCTTATCATTAGAGAAATTCATACATAATTTTTTTCTTCTCTTCAGCCACCAGAAAAAGAGGGTGGCCTGCCTCGCCAGGTAGGCAATAAGACGGAGTGCGGCCTCTTGGGATTTGTCCTGGATTTGAAGCAGGATTATGAGCCTGTTCGGAACCTCATTCCTGAGGAGAAACTCTATAAAGTTTACACGTTCAACTCTGTCAGAAAGTCAATGAGTACTGTCATTAAAATGCCAGATGGTAGTTTCCGAATGTACAGCAAAGGAGCTTCTGAAATTGTTCTGAAGAAGTAAGTTCAATGGATTAGTTGCTGTGTTTTTCCAAAACGCAAAACATTCTGACACCAATAAGATGTATGTGAGAATTTTGGTATTTGGAATTTGCCTCTCACAGTAGAAATATGATGCACTTTAGTAGTATAAGCTGTTATTGTTCTTTTCTGATTTTTTTTTTATGTGCTCACTCTTGCAAAACTGTTTCGCTTATTTTTCTTATCATTCGCTAGCCAAAGCATTGTGTTTACGTTTGGTAGTTTATAAATGGGTTCTTCACATTCAACCCATTTGGAAAATAAGGATTTTTTTCAATTTCATTGTAACTTGTCAGCTCATTAACTTCATGAGTATTGAGGAAATAATGGATGAAAGGCTCTTGGTGTCTCTGTAATAAGTTACAAACAAATTCTCTGATATTTCAGTAGTGAATCTTCTTGTTTAATCTGAATGTTTACACTAGAAATATAAAACTTGCCATCAAAAAAAGGAAAGTGTTGAATGAAATGAGCTGATAGAAGGAAATACTTTTCAGCAGTCACGCAAATACACAATCAACCTTTTTTTTTTTTTTTTAAAATAAATAAAAAAGATGTTCCAGGATCCTTAACGCAGCTGGTGAACCTCGTATCTTCAGACCACGTGACCGAGATGAAATGGTGAAGAAAGTGATTGAACCTATGGCCTGTGATGGACTCAGAACTATCTGTGTCGCTTTCCGAGACTTTAACAGCAGCCCAGAACCTGACTGGGACAATGAAAACGACATATTATCTGACCTGACTTGCATTTGTGTTGTTGGCATTGAAGACCCAGTAAGGCCAGAGGTATGTCAAACTCTTATGATATAAAGCATGTCTCGAAGAACTGAACATAAATTGAACTACGGATTTCATGCTGGTTTTATCTTTTTTTTAATTAGCTCTGTCAAAGAAGATGGAAGTGAGCTTTAGAAATAGACTTTACTTGATAAAACCTCAAATAATTAACTTGATAAAAATCAACTATTAATCAACCAATATTTAAACAAAGCAAAATAGGGCTTTTTTGAACTAGCGGATTGAGATGACTTAACCTTCTCTCAAGGAGTAGCATACAGGAGGACTGATCAGCAGAAGTTTTATTACGCTCCCACATATTAAATAATTTTCCTTTAAATAATGAGATGGTGTGCAACTCTGAAGGTAGAGAAAAGACATGCAGTGATTGTCATTGCCATGATTATAATTACTGCAATGTGCTCGCTTTCCTCAGAAATTGCATGCAGTCCTGGACTTTGTGTTTTACTGTAACAGTTGCCACTTTACTGTCTTAAGATTGTAACTGGTCGCTACTCAAGAAAATGGTTTTAGTGTTGTATTTGGACAAGGAAAAGCTTTGCCGTGGAACAGCTGCGGATTTCATGGATACTATACTTAAATGGCTTGTAAAAATATGATTAAAATTTCAACTCAACTAAAGTCAGAAAATCAGTACTGGGTGTGCACAATGGAAGCACGTGCCTGCTACTACACTTGTAAATTATATTACTACAGTAATACAAAGGGCAGATTAAGAGGTAGAAACTTTGTTTCTGACCTATGTATATGGTGCTTGATAATTAATCTTGACAGTGCAGAATTAATTCCATTTTACAGTTTAGAGACAGTGACAGAAGGCAAGTCCCAAAGTTGAAAGTGCTGAGCATAAAATGTAGGCATTTTCGGTATCTTTGGTGCTTTTCTCGCTGAGTCAACCGTGAGTGCGCAGCCAGGGCTGCTGTGTAGGCACAGCTGCAGACGCGTGGTGTGGCGTGATGCAAGAACACCTGCCCCAGCACCTTCTGCAGCTGGGGGGAGCGATTAATGCTCTCCTCTTCTGCTCCAAGAAATCCGCTCTTTGGTTCTGCTGTTATTTCAGTAGATGATTAATGACTCTGGTTTGCTTTGGAGTAAGGTCATTGAAAGAAAACTCAAATTTCTCTTATACAAAAAGAGTGGGTTCTGAGGCTGCGAAAATTAAGTAGTTTGCTACCAATCTTTGTCTTTTTTATTCTTCTGTCTCATTTTACATTTTTGCTGGATCTTTTTTTTAATCGCATCTACATCTTTGTATTTGATCCTCTGAGAATTGGTGGCAACGCTGAACATGTTAGGAAATTATTTTTTTGCTAAAACATCAAAAGCATAAATTAATCTGATGTATTTCCCCGAGTCCTCTATGAAGTAGGGTATTACATGCTTTTGACTGCTATAACTTTGGAAACTAGCATGGCATAATTACAACTACAGGTACCAACTACATAACTGTGCTTTGCATGACAATGGATTTTCCTGGTTTTTTTTTTCCGTATCAAGAAGGTTATAATATAAAGTAAATCTTACTTAGGTGAAAACTGTATGATAAACTCCTTATCTCCACAATCATCACATAAAGAGCATTCACTTTATCTGCCATCAGATGGTCTCTTGCTGCTAATCCATCTGTCCCTACACCTGACCTTGCAAGTCTTTAAAAATATTTAAAAACATTCTTAAAATGTTCCATCTGAAATGATTCCTTAATACTCTAGCTCATATCTATATAGCTCAGAAAGTTTGTAACTGTCAGTGACCACTGGAACTGCGAATCAGTCGTCTTTCCCTCCAAAACTGATTCACGATGCACGTTGTTAGAAAATAGCTTTAAGTCAAGTTATGTGTGGTATGACTGACTCGGGGCATGGGTAGCAGTGGGATTTGCACTTACTCCTGAAAATAGCTGCAAACTATCCATTCATGTGATTATTATGAGTGTGTTTTATAAGAGAACTCCTCTCATCTCCTAGGGAATAATTTCTTAGGAGCTTGAGGTAAAAATGAATAGAGTTGCTAAAAATAGAGAGGTCAAGTCTGACTTCTATGTAAAGGATCAAAGAAGATGAAGGCAGAAAACCATTTTATTTCTAGATAATTATTTGAATAATGTATTGAATTTCTTGTAGATTAACACCAGAATATGCAATAACACTTCTTACTTCATTGCAAGACACAGAATAAAATGTTTATTGTTTCAGAATTTTACCAAATGTCGGACTTATCTACAGTTGTTTTTTTGGGACTTCATTTTTGGGGTTGTGGGGTTTTTTCCTTCTTTGTCACTTTTGACTGTTTTAAAGTTGTTATAACATCATGAGAAAATTTAAAACAATATTTATTACTAAGCCACACATTGATAGAAAGCGGTAGCAGTACCTTAGGTGAAAGATAAAATGAACCAAAAAATCTGAAGCCAGAACAAAACCATAAATTTCAGAAAAACTGTCTAGGTATGAAATGTCTGACTTAGTGGGAATGTCATCATACACATACATTACAATGATGAAATCACCATTGCAGATGCAAATAGTAAGATGTTGCGCTGTTCTAAGGGACCTTACTATTTTGCCAGAATTAAGCCCACTTATTAAATAGAGTCACCGCTGGAGTTTATGAATTTACAAAGTGTTTTCTGTAGGGGAAAAAAGAACATAAAAAATTAGAAATATTACTGCAACTGCTCTTTTATTAATATCCTCAGTATTTATGGATATCAGAATTTATTCTGACAGAAATGATAGATTAGGTAATTCCAATGAAACAATCCAATGTCACCATCCTGGCAGCCTTTAGTTTCCCTTAAATTACATTCTCATTTTTTGGGAGAAGGCTCAGTTTTTTCCTTCTCCTTAGGATCATGGTTGGAGTTAACACATGCAAAATGTAGCTTCCACCTTTCCACAGAGCTCCTGTGGCACATTGCTCACATGCATCCTTGGAGTGTACAAATACGTGCGTACTTGCAGTGTCAATGGTGTCACGCTAGCATGGTTTCAGAGATAAGCGTGCCCTGTCTGTTCTGATGATACTGCTGGGCCCTTCCTTGCACTTGCATTTCCTTCCATACATTAAAAGAAACTATTTGGATGAATTATTCAACAATGACATCCAGCAACTGACCAGCTTTGAGTGTAACCACTGGACACCCATGACTTTTGCATAATTCCTAGGTTAATTCAGACTCTAGCTTATTCATGTTTTTATCAAGCACTGAACTACCTGCTTGATATTTATCTTTTGTGTGTGGTGTGTTTTGGTTTTTTTTGTTTCTTTGATAAATATACAAGAAGAGAACAAATAGAATGATGTCTTGTTCCTGCAGAGATTTCTCTGTTGATTTTGACAGTCTTTCTGGATTGATTTTAATGAGTCTGTACTGGCTTATGCTGATTTGCCAATGTACGCCTACAATCTGTTATTTCTGGGAGATGAACATAAATCACTTCCAAATGTCACCTATTTATTTGTCACCTGATTCTGATAGATAGTCCTACACTGGATAACGTATGCATGCGTGTGTGCGTTAGATGGTTTCCTTTGCAGAGAGAAAATGAACCAGAAAATTTAAAAATGTGTACTTAAGTTCTGCAAAACTGATGGAAAATATCTGCTTCCACTGCCCACTCAGTCTTCTTTCTTCCTTACAGCAATAAAAAAATATGAACAATATTTTAACTGTAATTACTGTACACAGTATTAAATCAGATACCACCCACCAGCTGTCCAAAAAATGGGAGAAGAGGAAAATAGAATTATTTCTCTAGTTATATGTGAGTTTGAGATGTATTTGAAACTAGGTTGTCCTCCCATGACCTTCTTTAGTAGGACTGGCACTTCATGTGAATAGGCCTTTTTTTCTGTTTGCACTGTAATTTATTTTTCTTCTTCATGGTTCACACACTGGGCTGGTTTTTACAGAGAGTGATCCAAATCTGTCATATACTATGTATGAGGGTCACCACAGTTAAAGTGGATACTAAGGGCATTCCAAATTGGCAAATGGAATATAGTCAGGATTATTAATGTGGAAACTGGGTAAATCAGGAGTAATTTGCTTAAGTAATAGATTTAATCTGGTTGTATGTCCCCCATAGAAGTCTATTTCATATTGTTAAAAGGCTTCAGGTCCAAATGATGCTTCCAGGATACAACTTGTGGGAAGAATATTCTCAGTTAGTAGAAATGAGGAAATGGGAAGATAAACCTCTGTCCCTTATTTTTTTCCCTTGGTTCTGTAATCTGTATTGACAGAGAGTCATTCTGCAAACAGCACATTCTGCGGATGCAGTCTGGGGGTAGAGTGATTTTCTTTGTGGTCGTGGGAAAGTACTAGTCTGATCCTCAATTAGGTGTTAGTTTAGTGAGGCATTCTGGAAAATAGAAGCTTCACAACTGCCTTTAATAAAGATGCAGAAACGTGGTGTGAAATTGCATTCGCTGGTTAGAATAATCATTATCTACACTATGGTTTAAGGGTGTATAATTTCAGTCTGACGTGCAGTCTGAGATATATAGCCTTTCCAGCCCCATGAAATCATTAGAAGCCCAGCGTTTGCCACGCTGGATCAGAGCAGTGGTTGTCATGCAGAAGGCAATGGCCTGCCCTCAGCAGTGACACATACTTGCGGCTATAGAGTAAATTAAAATACTTAGAAATGCACAAAATTAACAGTGTAATGTTGTTGATAGTGGCTCCTTTTCTTAATATTTTCTATACTAATGGATGAGAGTAATCCACTCTGATTGGCATTGAGTTCTACAATACACTTAGATCTATGATAGAGGTTACGATCAGCAAGCTGCACTGAACTGGCAGCAGAATATAGCAAGGCTTTGCTATTGTAGCCAGAAATATCCATTTTGATACCCTTTCTTTAATACTGTTTTTTGTTGATTTTTAAATATTTTTGCTAATTATTTTAAAATTAAAATTCTTTCCATAATCATCATCATTGCTTATTAGTTTCTGTAGGAAATCAACAGCTCTATATATGATCGCTGACGTAATTCATCACAGTCAGACAATCCCATTACTTTACATAAGTATGTCATCTGAAGAAGCTCAGCTGATAATATAGCAGCAATTTGCAGTCAGTAGTTAAGTATATGTATTTGGGGAATTTATTCAAATGTGCATTACATAGATTGAGAGTGTTAGGTAACATCGCAGAGCAAGCAGCTAGGGCCAGGTCTTTGGAGCTATTTTAACTTCTGGGATAACCTTCAGATTGCCTGGAGGTTTGCTTGGGATCACTGCCTTATATTCAGATGCTTATCTAACTCATGCCATCTCTTGGGAATCTTTTTCCTCTCAGACTATCACTTGTCTACTTCAAGTACCTCTCCGCTTCCCCACACGTAAGAACCAGTGCAACCTATAATTGCTTTATATCTGCCCTTTGCTGTCTTCTGCAGTAAGGCAGTTCAGTTTCTTGTAGGTTTGGGAAGAGTTTCAGTCTTCATGGGGAGTCCGGGGATGCCCTTAGCCTCTTCTAGGTAAAAATGAAATTTAGAGAAGTGGTGGTGTGCTGAAGGCATCTGTCTAGGCAGTTCTTGAAGTGTTAAACACACTTCTTCCATGTCAAATAATATTATTTTTTTCTTGAAGAAATAATGCTTTCATAAAAAGTGTGATGGGACTGCATTCATTGGCTAGAGTGATATTTATTAAAAATTAATAAATTATCATTAATTATGATATAGTTTAAGGGAATAGTATTTTTTCCTGATCTGAAATTCAACTATAGATCTGTAGCCTTTCTATGGGCAATGACTTTATATACCCAAGTAGCTGTATTAAAAGAGCTTTCTTTAATTGTTAGGAATCAATTTTCTAACTCTTGCACATTTTAATTACAAAAAACTTTTTTTTTTTTTAAATAAGCTGTATATGATACCGAGCCAGTATATAGCTTCTACATTAATCTCACGGACCCTGTTTCACACTGAATTCTCTCTCACTGGCATGTATACTGTGCAGCAGGAAAAGTTAGTCTCATGCAGAAGGCAGTGTAACTAAAATCATACTTCATTTTTACAGTTTTGAAATATGTAAATTATTCATGAAATTTTAAACACGTGTATTCAGGAATTCCACCTGTTGATATGCATGAATTAGTTTTATAGTGCTAAATTACAATAACTTTTTGGATAATCTTATTGAAAGGAAAGTTTGGATCAGAATTTAGATAATTTTCTGTACAAAATACATGTATTCTCAGTTCATATTTACATATACATTGAGGACATTAGGTTCAGCGTGCTGTACCTTGATGCTAAAGGTCAAAAAAGCTGCAGAGCACTCCTTTTTATTAAAGTCAGGAGAAGCTTTAGGCAACTGAACTAACAAACAGTTTGTGTGCTTCTTGATACAAGATTTGTCTTGCCTGTGGTGTAACCTCAATTCCGTAATAGCCAGGTAGCAGTAATTTATGCCATAAAATGTATGATTCCTCTTTTTGCTTCATGATTTTCTAAGCCTCAAAACATTCTTATTGGAAACACCTGACAGATTTTATCTCTTATCTAGGAATTTTCTTTCCTGTTATATTGATTTTGTAGGTCCCAGAAGCCATAAGAAAGTGCCAGCGAGCTGGAATTACAGTCCGCATGGTCACTGGAGACAACATCAACACAGCACGTGCCATTGCCATAAAATGTGGAATCATTCATCCAGGAGAAGACTTTCTCTGCCTTGAAGGGAAAGAATTTAACAGAAGGATCCGAAACGAGAAGGGAGAGGTAATTCATATACTAAATCCATACATATTATGAATATGTTATTAAAAAATAGTGAGAACACTGAAATGTTTCTCCTGCACTGATGTGTACCTCATTTCAGTAAAAACTACTTGGAGAGATTGCTACTTCTTTCTACCACTAGCCTTTTGCAATTCAAAATAGCATTGAAAATGCAGTCTTTCCTTTTCATGGTGCAGAGCCACAGTCAGTTTAGCGCTAGCCTAATTCAGCACTTTTTAGAGCCATAGCACTAGTCTACAAGAAATCAAAACTGAGCACATTAAAAGCAGGTTTGTTAGCAAAGAGAAGGAACTCAACTGCAGTTTGCAGGTCTGTCACATAAAAATGCAATCTGTACTGAAAACCAGCTCCTCTCATTTATTTTATACCACTTGATCTAATGTACTGCTATATCCGCTCTGATATGCGTAACAATCTATTCTTCAGACGATTTCTAACTCCTTATAAAAGATGGAGCTAACACACGGGCTATTGAAGTCAGCTTTAAAAACGTAAACTCTATGCTGTATCTTTGAACCCATCATCAATGACTGGACAGAGTCATACGCTCCTTGCACTGAGTGATGGAATCCTTTGTCCTTGTTGCTATTGGTATACAGAGAAAATTCTGCCATCATTGGTGCCAAAATGAAGTGAAGAACTTGGATTCAAATGTAGAACAACACACTTTTACTTGTAAGCATGCTTGATCAGCTTTGAGAAAAACTACTATCCTGTATCTGAAGTCATGATTCTGAGTGGAATTATCCATAACGATGCTAAGAAAGGCTGATTGGATACAGTCGCAAAATTTACCTACATTAGCCAACAGCTGAGCTTTGGTAGTAAAAAAACTGCTTTTCTTGACCTGGCCTTCATTTGCAGCATTGATGGCTGTTGTAATTTTTCTGAAAAGTTGTTGCTTTTGGAGAAAAGTTCCGGATCCTGAGTAGTGAAGTGAATCATCTGACACACGGACTCAAATATATTTTGCATTTTGCTAATCACAGGCTAACAATTTTACTGTTTTGGTGTCTTTTTTTTTTGTGTTTCCCCACTCCAGATTGAGCAAGAGCGGATTGACAAAATCTGGCCAAAGCTTCGAGTGCTTGCTCGCTCATCTCCCACGGACAAACACACTTTGGTAAAAGGTGTGTGCAGACTGCCTTCGTGTGTGTGTGTGTAATTAATGCCAAAGTTAGTGAATTATGTTCAGCACAACATCTGCGTTGTAAAGATTTTACTGTTACAAATATATCTGAGTTGTTACCTTTAATTGCACTAGCCAAGTCTTTTGTGTTTGCGTTCTACCTGAGCCTTGAAATGGAAAATAGAGGAAGCTGGTTGGCAGGAATAACAGAAATACCAATAAGATGTCTGACAAGTAGATGTAGACCATCTCATATTTGCCTTGAGGCTTTTTATTGGACTAGAATGAGGCTGTAGCTGGGAAGGGAAGATGTGTATTTGCTGGTCAGAAAGAAAATATTGTTGAAAAATAGTTTGTTCATATGAACAAGCAGAGGCATAGATTTTGTAGTCTTTGCCTATGCCTCTTTATGAAGAAAACCAAGAGCAAGCTCATTTAGAGTAAATCAAGTCACTCAAGTGCATCTGTTCTCCCCCAATTATTTTTAAAGAGTATTCCAAGATAAAAAACTTTCCATGTTACAGTAGCAGTTATTGGAGATCATGTAACTAAGAGCTGCCCTCTTTAGCATTACATGAATGGAGATATGTATTTTAAGCCAATTCTGTTTTCCTGTAGGCTCACTAACTATATTATTTCCATTGCCTTCCTTTAGATTTCTGCTTGTATTTTTGAAGTCTGGTTTTGTCCTATAAAAACTGCACCACACAAGTGATATTCTCTCACCATACTGTCTGCAGATGGAATGCTCTATAAAAGAGGGATTTGTTTGCAGTTTTCTCTATAAAACCTTTTTCATATCTGTAACTCGCACTTCTTCATGAGTTGAAATCTTAGTCTGTTGACTTTGAAACTCACGCTTAAAAGACAGTGCATGAAATCAGAAAATTTCTGATCAGGAATAACATCATTTCTGGCCATGACAAGATGGGGGGCCGGCAAAGGCAGAAGCCTTGTTGGCGAATGGCTGTGTTTGCTGGCTTCCTGATGAAGAACGAACTGCATTATTTTGCTAAGGCCCTAGAAAGTCTAGAGAGAGACTCTTCTTAGCGATTCTCGGAGGAGCTCAGTTCAGGATAACATCCAGCTGATCAGTTGCATGTTTTCAGGTGGTCAACTACTTAAATAATAGTTCACATTTAGGTAGGAAATCATTTTATCTATGGCAAAATGACTCCATATATGACTAATTCAAAGGCTTTTGAGAGGTAGGTAATTTTTAAAAATGCCTAAATGACTTTAGAGCAAAATTTCCATTGTGAATTTGAAGATTGGATCAGGTGGGTCCTTTGGGACTGGGACCAGTGCATGTGAAGAGCTCTGGAAGCATGGATCATTCAGGAGAACTAAGATATCCTGTAAGCCCTGGCATGGTGCACAGGATGGGGCAGCTGGAGACATACTGCTGTTACCCCTCCAGCCGCTGTTTAGACCAGGGGGCTCTGAAGTGGGGTGCACACGCATCAGGGACAGTCCACTAGGATGCAGGAAGAAAGTATTTTTTACCTTTATTAAATAGAAGAATATTTTTTAAATAGTGTTAATTTCATCTCTATCTCATCCTTTTCTAATGTATGTTTTATAATGTACATAATATAGTAGTATGTATGTCTAATTTATAAATAATGTATGTATTTGGGGGAGTTGTGCTCAAAAAGATTTTACCAATAGGTGCTCATGATTGAACAGGTTTGGAGACCGTTAGTTTGGACAACATAGTTATTAGCTCCATAGGTCAGTATTAAAACAGCACCAAGTTAGCTGAAGTCTCCTCACTTCCCTAGTGCACATAAAATACTGTCTTACAGCTCTTAGAAGACATGACTTCTACAGGCTAATAGTTTATTTGTTTCAGAAATACACAACAATTTGTGTTTCATTAAGTAGATGAAATAAGTCCTTTGGGAGTACTCATTTGAATCATTCAGGATCTTCCTTTAAGAGAAAAACGAAACCTTGGCCAGAGAAAATGAAATCAATAAAGAGCTGAAGAAAAATAAGCAACAGATTATTGATGTTTTATAGCATATGCACTTTGACAGTTGTGCTGGTTTTGACTGGGATTGAGTTAATTTTATTCGTAGTAGCCATAGTACGGGGCTGTGTTGTGGATTTGTGCTGAAAACAGCATTGATAGTTCAGGGATGTTTTAGTTCCAGCTGAGCCAAGGCCTCTTCTGCTCCTCACACCTCCCCACCAGCGAGTGGGCTGGGGGTGCACAAGGAGTTGGGAGGGGACACAGCCGGGACAGCTGACCCCAATGACCAAAGGGATATCCCAGACCATATGACATCATGCTCAGCATATAAAGCTGGGGAAGAAGGAGGAAGGGGGGATGTTCAGAGTGATGGCGTTTCTCTTCCCAAGTGACCGTTATGCACGACGGAGCCCTGCTTTCCTGGGGATGGCTGAACACCTGCCTGCCCATGGCAAGTGGGGGTGAATTCCTTGGTTTGCTTTGCCTGCGTGCACAGCTTTTGCTTTACCTATTAAACTGTCTTTACGAGTTTTCTCACTTTTACTCTTCTGATTCTCTCTCCCATCCCACTGGGAGCGAGCGGCTGCGTGGGGCTGAGCTGCTGGCTGGGGTTAAACCACGACAACATTCCAAAAGATACTTACTACTGAATGCCTTATGCAACTAATACAATTAATGTTTTAAAGATGTGGCAAGGTCAAATGATAGAGCAATTAAGTATCTAACGAAGTTCAAGAACAAGTCTGTGGAAAATCATGATGGAATTTTTTGGCTGATAATACTCCAAGGGCCATTAAAAGTTACAAGAAACTATTTAAATGTTCACTAGTTTTGGGCCTCTTGTTAAAATGTTATGTTTTTCTCAGACACTTGAGGGATCAAGAGGATTTTCTCTTCTTTGATGTATTCTATCTGCTCTAGGGTAAAAACACACATCACAAAATAAACTTTTTTATATTTAATTTTTAATGACATACAGCTGCTGGAGGGAGTATTTTTTTTCTCCTTAACATAGCACAATCCCACCCAGCAAAAGGATCATTTTTATTTTGCATTTTTGTTTTTACTACTGCTAAGGGACTAGAGAAAGACATGGTTCAGCATTTCAGGCTGGGCGGACAGCTTCTCTCAAATATTTATGGCTTTGAAGTAGAGGTAGATTGAAAAAAAAAAGTTAAAATGGTTTATCATCACAAAGTGTTTCACTGAAACAAAAATGTTAGATATGTCAATCCAACTGAAATACAGTTTCTTAGGGATTTTATGCCATCCATTGGTATTATTTCATAATTTTTACCCTACTTCAAAATATAACAAGTAAAAATGCATATAATTTATACTGAAGTGTCCTTATAATGCTATTACTGAAATACTTCAATATTGTCCTTTTTTTTTTTTTTTTTTAAATACTATGGGAAGCAACTGTTTAGTACTGATGGGAAATATCATCTTCTTATCAGAAGGTATAGAGGAGATCAAATAAATACTCAGCTTACCAGTTAAGCTGTGCTTTCTACTATGTTTAAAGTAGGCTGGAATTATTTTTCTGTGATATTAAAAACAGCTATTCTATTCTCATGTGAGGCTGATTTATGAACAAGCAGAAAGGGAACTTTAAAGAAGAAAAGATTTTTAATAGTTACCCTTAATTACTAAAATATTTCAAATATTATTGCATGGGATGCTATTATATTCATGACCTCATTAATGTGGTCATGCCATCAGACCAGGTAGAATAATAAAAATATAGAAAAGTGTATTAATTGAAATTCTGAAATTAAATACCAGCATGTTGCAAATTGCAAGTGGTTTTGATTTCCATTTGAGAGAAAATTTTAATATTTATTTTTATTCAAATTCATAAGAAGAAATATTCAGAAAATCGACCTGTTCCACAGTGTAAAAATTCAGCTTCAACCAACTTGTCCCTGAAGCGAAGAACATAAAAATAGTTTAAAGAATGCAGGAGGTATACTGCATTTGAATCTAGTTTTATACTCTGTAAATATCATCTAGGTCTCTGCAGTCTGTGTGAAGTGTAACTTTGTGGGAGGCACTGATGCCTTCAAGGTTCCCGTTTAGTGTTTCAGTCTTATAAAGGACATTGGTGGTGCATGCTTAGTACAGAAATCCGTGTGTTTGAGCCACGTTCTTCTCTGCCATTCTAATATCATGAACTTTGTGGCGCACTTTTCACTTAACAATTACCAATGCTGTCTATGATGTTATATATAACACTTTTACATTAACCTTTAAAGTTCTATTCCTGCACATACTTAAGCATGTAACTAAAGTGAATTTGAATTTTCTCTTTCAGACAGACTTCTGAGTTAATTCTTGTTAAATTAACAGGGAGCTTCAAAAAGTTTGGAAGTATTAAAACCTAATCAGAACAGAACATGCCTATGAAAATATGTTACGGCATCTGTCTATGTTTAGCTTGTCAAAGAAATATAAATATGTGTAAGCATATGGGATTATCACCTTTACTGCATCAGTAACACCTGTAGCTAAGTTTTTCTGTCTGCCTGGTTTGAGTTAATCAGCTGAGACAGAAAGAAATATCTAAACCAGGAATTTTTTCTCCCAGAACCACTAGTTTCTTATTGATGCGACTCTAAGGGTGACAATGCAAATAAGAATTGTTAAAATAAAGCGGCATTTGTTCTGCAGTAAAGGGAGAACCTGAGGTTCTGCTTGATGTTTTTGATCTGAGCCATGGGTACAGATAGGTCCTTGTAAAAGAAATGGAAGACACGTTGTCGGTTAATATTCTTTATGTTATTATCCTGAGTGGATTTGATTTAATGCTTGCTTAATGTTAGATGGGAGGAAGGTGGGAGGTAGAGGATATATTTCACTTGCAGCTGTGCGTGCAGTGCTGGTACCTTTTATAGCAAGCTTGTGCACATAGTGCCCCTCTTGATAGCTATACATAGTTGTTTTAAATATGATCTTTTCCCCCATAGGAAACAAGCTGCTTGTTCTGAAAAACCAATGCGTTATGCAAGCTATATGACTCCTCCCCAAATTCCTGCAGCATCAGCGGAATCTGTGGGTGGAACACACTGTAATGTTACACTCTAGGTGTATTCCTGTGGCTGTTGAATAAAATTCTTTCTGACAGAGGAAAGTTGTGGTCAAACAGCTTAAGATGAGGGAACAGACCGATGCAACAGCGAAGACTGTTTTGGGAAGAAGCTTTGCTGAGTTCTAGGAATTCCTCTGCTATACCTTGCAGACCTGTTTTTCTTAAAATACTGTATGTAAGCATTCAAGTGGAGTAAAGCAGCTTATTTTGAAGAAATTTCCTGGCTGTTAGACATGACCAATTAATACTGAAGCTTCTTTTTAGCCATTTTGATTGAGTGAAAAGGCCAGTGAATGTGAAAGAAATGGGCATTCTCTTTATTGGCAACCTGTCAGGTTGTGCCCTTATTTACTTTTTTCACTGATCACTGAAGCAGTTCTCCACAGCTCAGGACTGCAGAGGGAGAACCATTCCTAGGCATCCCTCTTCTGTTTAGTCTCCTTACACTGTAAAATCTATACAGACATATTATTTGACACTGAAGACAATTATTGAGGTGAAACTTTATCACAACGACTAACAGAATGGTATCAAAGGAAAAAAAAAAGTAAAACCTAAATGTGGTTAGGAAGGAGGCAAGTGCTGGAAAGAAGACAAGTGTTCAGAAATGTGAGGAAGGGGGGAGGAGGAACAGATTAAAAAGAGCATGCAGAAGTCAGGGAGCATAAGTATAACTATGATAAATCCTCTGAATCCCAAATAATCACTACTACTCCATTTTAGAAATTTGTTTGACATGCAAATGAAAGTTCCGCATAGATCGTCTCTCTTCCTATGAATAGCACTGAAGCCCATCCACATGCTGATGTGCCACGCACTGACATATTTCCGATGACAGTAGCAGTGGTCACTGCGATGAAAGTGTGTGGCTGAGATGCTCGTGCTAACCGAGACCATTTTATCTCTATTTTCCCATGACTGCTGATTATGAAGTTCTGTGCTCTGGAGCGTGTTGGGCTTATCCTGGCTGCATGGTTTGCTTTTAGGGATAAAAATGACTACTAAACCTTGTGAACAACTACTAAACTTTGTAAATTACTTAGCTGCATCCAGCAACTGGCTGATGCAGGGCAGTTGGTAGTATAGTTGTTGGCATCAGAGCACTATTCATATCTATTAGGAGGTCATTTGTTAGAGCGTCTGCAACTTGATTTGTCTTGTGCTCCCATTTGGAATCCGTTTGTGAGAGGATGTTCTCTCCCTGTCTGGAGCAGTTAATACCATGATGTCTCAGAGATTTTAAAGAATTTTTTCAGAAGCTTAAACTATTAATTTAACATCAAAGGATGTGTTAATAACAAGAACGGAAGACCAAGATAAATGCTTTTAACGGTAATGGCAGCTGATGTTCCTGTTTATTTAGAAATACCAAAGGCAAATCGCCCCAACAAATTGAAAGCTCTAATTATAAGATCTTATCGTAATAATGTGCCATTTATCTGAGTTCTTACTGCCAATGGAAAGTGAATAGGTTTTTTTCTGATTTTCATAAGACTGAAAAATACAGGACACTAACTGCTTCCATGCTGCATTGCAATCTTCTGGGTGCGTGATAAGCCTGAACCTTGCCAAGAGGCAGCTATTGCTCTGTAATCTGCAATTTCCTATTTCTGGTTAGTTATCTGATATGTGAGTTATTTTTTTCCAGAGTAGAGTGAAAGCTTTTCACATTGGCTAGGTTTTGATAATTGTTTTTAGAGGTTTTGACTTTGTGCAGAATGTGTTAGCAAAAGGAATTTTGTCATTTTCCCCTCCTAAGTTATTACTATGGAGAGGTGTTCTTGTATCCTACACAACAATCCTGTATTCTGGACTCATTCAAATGGACTCTGACATGGAAATTAAAACATGAGTGTTAAATGATCCCCATCCTATTAAAAAACAGGGCTGTTTCTGTAACCTTAGAAAAATTGTCTATTCTTTTCCTTACTTTCCCCAGCTGCATAAGTGGAAAATACTCTTCTGCAGGCTAGTTGCGTGAAACTTGGTTCACCAAGTGAAATGTGCTTTCTTTTCTCAAATGATCTCAAAATGAAAGTAGAAATTATTTTATTATGTCTATTTATTAAAATGTTTGGCTCCAGAATTTAAAGAATTATTTTATATCTTCTTAATCATTGTTTGGCAGAACTGAACGTGTCTGTTAAAATGCTAATTTGGCTCCAGCTAAATAAAATTCATCAATGCCATTTGTTATCTTTAGGTTAAACCGATTGCCAGAAGGCATCCCAGTAAAGCAGATATTACAGTTCAGTCCCAGTTTAGGAGAGCTTTAAGCATGAACTTCAGTCTTTGGCAAATCCTTTCCATTGATGTTGAATCAGAGAGCTGTGCTGAAATGGGTTTACTGTGACACAGAATTTTAAATAGTAGAAATCTTCCAAAAGAACATAATGAACTGATCTCACTCCCTCTGAAGTCTGTGCGAGTTTTGTTGATGTTTTGATGATGCAGGGTCTGAACTTCCCATGTAAACACTAGTGGTGATCTCCAGTAGTGTATAGTAGTGATGATACTGCCTTCATCATTATTTTCCTTAAAAATCAACTCTATTATAATCTCTGTGAGACTTTTGTGGTGTTATGGACTCTATATTATAAAGATCCTGCTATTTTTTAGAGGGAAGTTTTATCTTGTTAATTATTTTATATATGTATATGTATGTCTACACACATATATACATTTTTTGCAGGTATTATTGACAGCACACAGGTGGAACAGAGGCAGGTTGTAGCTGTGACTGGTGATGGAACCAACGATGGACCAGCACTTAAAAAAGCTGATGTTGGCTTTGCAATGGTACAATCTTGAGCATATTCATTGATGTTTGTGTCATCACAAATTTGCTGTAAGAGGTTTTTCATTCATTAAGTGTTGAGAAAGTTGCTTAGTTAATACTTGTCAGTGAAGCAATATATTGGAGGTGGTGAGTTATGTTGCTTCACAATCCTTTAATTTATTATGTTAGATTCCCTGGTATTGCTTGTTCTGATCCTTTTTCAGTATTTTTTTCTAAGGTAATTATCGGCTATATGCAGAATCTTATGCCAATACAGAAAAATTAACTCTATGTTCTTCACAACAGTGGAGTACTGTTTGGCTTTGGTAAAATCATCACTAAATGTAAAGATGGCTTCCCAATGTATTCTGACTCCAAAGATATTAATGTACTAGACTATATATTAAGATACATCATTCTAATTTTTGTTAGCTATTCTGTTCATGTATATTAATAAAATATCATCATTGATAAAAATAACTCAGATGAGTAGTCATTAAGCTGATAATTTAAAACACTCAAAACTATCATGACATGAATTCCACTGCTCTCTACCAAGTCCCTTTTCCACATCCTTACTCACTTTCAAAAATGGGCCAAATTAGCTAACTTCCTAGCAAATATAAAATGCAGCATATACTCAGCAGTCACCGTTACTGTGCTAGGGAGTCTCAGTGTAACTGTGGACTTATGAATGAGTACTACGATTTGAATTTTAACTGTCTCTGTACTTTCCAGTAGGTAATTTTATTCACAATTAATTTTTCCAGGGTATTGCTGGAACAGATGTTGCAAAGGAAGCCTCAGATATCATCCTAACAGATGACAATTTCAGTAGCATTGTGAAGGCTGTAATGTGGGGACGTAACGTCTATGATAGTATCTCCAAGTTCCTGCAGTTCCAGCTCACTGTTAACATTGTGGCTGTGATTGTGGCTTTCACTGGAGCATGCATTACCCAGGTAAGGCTAACTTCAGTGTCGCTTTAAGTACGGGGCCAAATCCCACCAAGCTACATTTTCTTTTCAGTAATGGTGGCTTACATTTAATTCTGCCTTTGTACCACAGAAACTATGCTTTCTGAAATTCTTCTGAACGTTAGGAGTGTATTTAGGATCAAGCTGCTAAAGGTTAAATGGCTGTTGATGTAAGGAAGTGTACTAATCCATCTTCTTCTGGAAGTAAATTTTGTTTAGGAGCTGCTTATTTTTGTGCTGCCTCCATACAGCTCCCAGTTTTTGATTACATATTATTGTCATGACTGTGCCTGTGGTGATAGGGCAGGAACTATCAGGGACTGGGAGAAGGAAGAGGTTATGTGACTTTGCCTTTTCCTCTCAGAATGTTTCACTATTAACTATATATTTCTTGATGGATTATGGAATGAGATTATTATTTTCAAGAGAGCAGTACTGACACACAGAAGTAATCCCAGCTGGTGAGCATTTTGACTCATAAAATTATCGTGTTGCTTTCAGGCAATTCCTTTTAATTTCAGATGTAAACAAGAAGGCAATTAAATGACACATACAGTTGCACTTTGATCTCTTTTCTCCCTCTACATTAATCCCTTATTCATAGAATCTTTAAGGTTGGAAAAGACCTCTAAGATCATCAAGTCCAACCATCAACTCAACGTCACCATATCTATTAAACCATGTCCCGAAGTGCCACGTCTACATGTTTTTTGAACACCTCCAGGGATGGTGACTCCACCACCTCTCTGGGCAGCCTGTTCCAATGCCTGACCGCACTTTCAGTGAAGAAATTCTTCCTAATATCCAATCTAAACCTCCCCTGATGGAACTTGAGACTATGTCCTCTTGTCCTTCCACTAGTTACTTGGGAGAAGGGACCACAACCCACCTCACTACAACCTCCTTTGAGGTAGCTGTAGAGAGCAATCCTGATGTACATGCAACATGTCTAGCTCTTTTACAAAAAACTTATGTGAAAGCAAACCTAATTTTCTTCCTTCAAATTACTACTTTTTGATTAATAAAATTCTTTTCTTTTCCCTGGAAAGAAAGCAGGATGTATTTAGTATGGTATGACATTTTTATTCATCAGAAAACAGCAAAACATGCAGTTTTCAGTGCTATCACTCCCTAAAATAATATATATTTCAGATGCTGCAGACAGGTGCTGTTACAAAATGCCTCCTTTGATTGACACACACTGTGGGGAAGCTGATGCTTCCCTCTGTGGTGCATCATACAGCTGCACATACCTGTTTCAGCAGGTAAATTTCACCTCAGGCACACTTGAGCAAAACCATGAATAAGTCATTAGCTCTGCTCCAGGGTAAACTTACATTGTAATCATGGAATTGATACTTGAAACCAGAAACCCAGGTACCTTTACAAAACCATGAGGTCAAACTTCTCCTAAGCCTTGACTGACATCGAGAGGCCTTTTTTGTGCTGCACATGAGGAGTCCATAAGCTCCCGGCTTCTGCTAGCACCGTGCAACTAGCTGTTATCATTTAGCTCCTCTGAGCTAAGCGAGCATAGAGCTAGTGCTAGGGCTGGGATTCTCAGAGAAATCAGAAGTGGCTGGGTTTGAAACACACAGAAGTTATCTTAACAAATGAAATAACTATTTTAGTCTGTATAAAGGAAGCACTGAAACCTCAATTCAGTTGTTACCCGAGAAGTTAAAATTGCGAGCTGCTGAGGGCTAGATCCTTCCCACACTGCCCCCAGGTCTTGATGATGCCTTGTTGTCACAATTGAGGACAAAATTAGTGATGTTGCAGCAGAAGTTGGGTAACTTTTCCTTTGGGAAATATTTCCAAGCATATTGAGAAAATTTTCAGCTGGTAAGAGAAGGTATGTGAATAAGGACTAAAACTCTGGAAGGTCAGTCCTCCTGGATTTTTATCAGTGGTACAAAACCATATAGAAAAAAGTGCTGACAGCAACGTGGTCACAATACCATTATTTAAGGTGAATTTTTTTTTTGTTAATGCATGAAGGGAAATATATTCTATTTGTTAACTATGGAATTGTTATTTTATTCTTGAAGAGGTTAAGCATTACTGAATCAGTGCAAAGACTATTTTAAGTCAAGTCTAAGTGCATGTATAGTGCATAGTCAGTGCAAGCATATTCCCCTTTTTAATTCCAGAGCTTTCTTCATCCTTTGAATCATTCCGTTGGCTTCTAGAAGGATTTGGATCAGGCCCAGTACATTTATATGGCCCCAATGGTCTGTAAGACCATCACTGAGTCTGTCAAGTCTGTTGTCCCTGTTTACAGGTTTTAATTCTATCCAAACAGATTCTTATGCAATTCCTTAGTTTGGCAGCAAAAATGCAAATCCAAAGGAGAGGTCTGAAAGGAGCTAAAATGGAAATTGTAGCAAAAAGGCAGCGGTTATTTCCACTGTAGTTGTGTTTACACTCAATGGCCTGACTGCTGATAATCTCAAGTAGCTCTCAGTTCTAGCTCATTCAGGAAGTATCTTGCCTTACAAATAAACATTATTATGCTAGGCTTTGACTGAAAGACTCTCGCCAGTGAAAGGGCATTATGTTTGTTTGGCTCATGAGCTTTACTAAAAATTACTCTTGAGAACATACTGTACTCTCTGGTTGTTATGAAAATAGCTCTAGCACAAAATGCACGAATATACCAAAAAGTCTTGCGTACAACAGGCTAAATGCACACACATAAATCTAAGCCTGCAAAACTGTACACAGGTCTTAAATTACTATTTTGACTGAAACATTTAAGTTCTTAACAAACAAATGAAGCTAAAATCTATAGTTTCCAAAAGGCAACACCGCTTTCTGTGACCTTCAAAATGAATATAAAGAAGGTCCACATTAGACTGAATTTTACTTTTAGGTAGTCAGTTTGGCTTTCTTTGACACACACAATATAATTTTAGTCCATAATTAATATTCAGGTTAATGAATATTACACAGGCTATTCTTTTGGTGATATTTCATCAAATCTAGAATGAGAAAAATTCTATGTGAGTAGTAATATTTCTTTCAAATCTGTTCTGCAATTCAGAACCAGTGTAGTTGGGATGCTTTGAGTATGAAGCTTCTTTTACGCTCATCTACTCTTTTTGGTTTTTCTACTGTTTGTGCTTAAAGAAAGTGCAAAGATATTAAAATCTTTGTTTTGACTATTTTTTTTAAACTTTGCTTGTGCTTTGCAACTAAATAGACTTGATTTTATTCAAACTTGATCCTGCAATTGCATTGGTGTATGTGTAAATATGTGTATGTGGTCGTATCACTGCAGGACTCCTAGTGAAACCACAGCAACTCTATATTAATGAAAGGTCCCACTGTGCGAGTACTATTAAGAGTGAAACTAGACCTCCAGGCAGCACCCAGAGAATACATTGCCAAGTAGTAGCTGATTTGTTTGATCCAGAGCACCTTAGGAGTACCATGGAGAGGCTTAAGAAAAATATTAGGTAGAACCTGTGACCATTAGTGGTCATTTTAAGAATCTGCTGCTTTTTTTCTCAAATACATAAATAAAATCAATGTCCTTGCCAATTCCATTTCTGGAAACTATTGTTTAGCTTAATATTTGCTTAACATTAACAGAATTCTTTTATTATTTATCTACGCAACACCTGCTTCAGCAAGGTGCTGCTGTTAGAGAGCGTATCTACCATATCTACTATTTCCATTTTGTCCTCGTTTGCTGCTTCAATAGATGTTTAACCACGTGTACAAAGTGTATGTGACCCTATGTGCTCCTCCAATGTTATGTAAGTACTATAAAGGAGTAGCAATGGGCTAGTAAAGAAGTAATTATGCAGACTAAAGGGGACCAATGCAAATGGTCATTTGCTATTCTCTGTCATGGGTCCCAGCATGAAGTCATGTTAAGGCGACAGAAGTCATCTTCTAAGCAGCACAGGAATTACAGATACAGTGTCACCTGATGGCAAGCTTAGCTCGGCTGCTGCCAAAACTAAACTGCCCCTCACAGGGATCCAGCTTACATTGGGCCCTGTTTCACTTTACAGCAGTTCAATAGTAAGCCAAGAGTTCTGAATTTTCAACTAATAATGAACTTCCGTGTTGTGATTCTGTAATTATGTAAAGCACTGTAAGATCCAGGTCATACAAGAAAACCAAGCTTAAAGAAATCTCTGATTAAAAGCTGAATCAGGATCATTCAATCTGTGGTTGCATAGGTGCTCTTAATTTTGTGTCCAGTGTGTACCTTGCAGCCATCAATGAGATCACAACTATTAGTTCTGCTAGTCCCATATCAGTGCAGTTAGTGTGACACAATGCAGCTCAGCTGTATTCATTCAATTATTCTTCAGTTAATCTAATTAATTTACCTCTTGCTCCCCTCTCTCTGTGTTGCCCAGTGCATACTTTTAAAATGATCAGGGTGTGGTTATGTGGACCAGTTTGCATATAATTGTCCTTTCTGTTTAGCAACCATTACCTCAGGTTAAACCAATAATTTCTTTTTCCAGTGGATTTATGAGATATAAACTCTTATATTCTGACTTCATTCTCTGAATAACATTTTTGCAGAGCCCTTGATTGGCTCAGTGAGGGTTCTTCTTTGGAGCTCTGCCTACAATTATAGTGAATTTTTCACTTCTAATGAATCATTGCTCCACATCTCTAGGTATCAGAGTTCTATACATGCCTTACAAAGCCAGAAGGTTCATCTTGTTTCCTGTCCTCAACATATACACACAGTACCAAGAAAGTATTAGGTCATTGTGTTTGGAGCTGTTTAAAATAATCTGGGTATGTACAAAATAAGATTTTAAAATTGAGTTCAGTCAAATGTAAACAGTTTTTTACTGGAACTATAAAGCTAGCAGCTTTATTTCTGTGCCAAATTTTGTCTCTGTCTCCAACTCTTGAGGCAATGTAACTATTCAAAAAGGTTGCATTAAAGAAAGAGAAGATAAAGACTGTGTTTTAACATTTTACATTCAAATTATTATTCTCGTACTTTGAGAAAGACAATGTTTTAGCAGACATTTTAGGAACTGAAAACAGTGACTCTATAGGACATTATGTTTGGAAAATTAAATGTTAATTAAAAAGCACTGTAGCAATGAACTACTGCATGAATCACTTATTGTTTTTACAGATCTTGTTCAAAAAATGAGGATGATCTATACTTACATGTATAAGGCAGTAATTTACATGGTTATAATGTTTTACTGCAGAACTGTATTTGGCAAATCCTAAAATAACAGCATAGGCAAATTTGAAAAAGCTATAATATAAATTCAAAGTATGTATGGTTTAGCTTTGTTTTGGGAAGGCTTAGAGGCATGGAAGTAGAATTGAAGATGCCACTTCCACACAATTAGTAGACAGTGTGATCTAGCAGCAGAAGCGAGGGCTGACTTTTTTTTTTGCATTACTGCATAAAAAGTTAACCTACCAGAAATGCTCATTTTTATGAGTCCATGCATGTGTTCTGTGACAAGTGGGAGTAAAGAGGTAAGGGTGAAAATACCTTTTTATTCCCTTACAGCTTGTCATCTAAATCAAAAGTAACAAGCTCTAAAATTTGTGAGGCTCTGCATGTCACAAAAGATTTGTAGTTTATTTCCAGCCTTTGGTGATTTGTACTTCTAAGTGTTTCCAAGATGAAGTGTAACATCACTTGATTTAAGGGGCATTTTCCTTTTACCTCTAGGCCAATGCTAACCTATTCCAAGGTCAAGTGGAAAGGAATTTGACAAATAAGCGGTGATTTTGGGTGGTTGGCAGTTTGAACAGCTTTCGTCCCCAAAGTTTTCAGAAAGTGAATTAAGAACTATTAGCTAGTCAGTTGGTGGCTAAAATGCAGTGAAAAGAACATTGAATTTGCATCCTACTTGCATAAGTGACTAAAATCTTCAGTGGAAGACTAGGCTCCTTAGCTGATATGTATTTTCCTCAGTTTCCACCAACTAATCAGAAGTCAGATAGAGTTGCAGTGGAAATTTCATTCCATTGCCTGCCCAGACTAATGTGTAGTTAATGTTTTGGCTTCAGCTTAGAATGAGCTTTCACACTTGACTGAACAGTGTAGCACTGCCAATAATAGATAATTATTAGAGGCACCATAGCCACCCAAGGTGATTGGCAGTGTGAAATGGTGAGAACATGTTGTTGCCAAAACTGATGACTGCCAATTACAGTTCTGTGATTTAGAGACTGAAATAATCTGACTTTTCGTTATGCTAGGAATATGTCAGGCTCTGATAGACACCTGAATATTTGACTCTATTTATTAAGTGTAACAGACAAATTCAGTTTTATTGACATAGCAGTTAGCGTGCTAAGCGGAAATTCAGCTATTGTAACATCTCAAAGTAGAGAATGTTTTTCAAGAAAACTTATTAGCTAGACAGGTAAAAATACAATGAGGAAAATTCGTCAGTAGAAAACATGTTTTCCTTTTTCTCTATATACTGTGTTGTCCAAGTCTGGGGCCTCTGAGCCCTAGCAACAAACTGCTTTAGTGCAGCACTCTCCTTGTTTGAACCATTAGTATTAATAAAAATAAATAAAGTCTCAATTTGGAATGAAGTTTGTCCTGATTGCTTTTAGGTTTTAGCCACCTTTAAAGACAAAGACTTTTCCTGTTTCTGCAGCTGCATATTGCATGAGTGAGCTGAACTCTCCAGATAAGCCCAGTTAATGCAACCCATAACTAAAAGGTCAAGAATCTATTAATGCTAATCTTCCTCCCTTGGCTGATATAGCCAACCTGTAAGACTTAGAAACAGTAGGTTGGTTTTCTCTATCCCTTAGAGTAAGCCAAAAAAGAGTGCTTTTTTATAAAATAAAATTTATCAAAATTTCTGTAAATGTAGGGATGTTAAAAACATGTTTTCAAGAGGAAATAATATTTTATCTCAAGGGAGAGCTGGGATATAAACCAGATCCACAAGAGACCAAACCGCTAACCCTTTTTCTCCATATGTCCTTGGGATACTGAATAGATATTGAATATTTAACCCTTTGAAGAAAAGGACAGAGTTCATAAGGTGTTTTTATTGGCTTTGATTTGGCTTGTATGCTGTTCTATAAATTTCTTTGCTTCACTACTGCAGCACCATGGTAATGTAATGCATAAAAATAGTGCTCTTATCTTCCAAGTTTCACACTGTAGATTAACTTGCTTCCATTATAAAATTTGTCATACTGATACCTTATTACTTTTGCGATTCTATTTTCATAACAAAACCCTTCTGTTTGAAAGAGGAAGCTGACCTTGCTAATGCTGCCCATTTTGTATTCAGTCTAAAGGCATAGGAGGTTGTTACATATAAAAAAAGAACCTACTTCATTTTTTCCTGATATGGCTCCTTGAAGCAATTGCATCTATCTATCATTCAAGCTGCCCCAATGAATCACAAATCAAAACTTTATAATAATCATCAAGAGTTCTCCTGAGAACTGTGTTAGTTTGCTTTATTTATTTACTTTTGGGTTTTTTAAAACATGATTTAAAGTCCTCTGTAATATGACCATAGACTCTTTCTTGAATTAAGTGAGGAAAGAGCTCCTTCTAGCGGTTGGCGATCTGCTTCAGAAAATAAATACTTCATTCTGACAAGTGGTAATTGTTTTTGGTTTTTTCCTTCCAGTTTCATAGTTTCAAATATGCTATCCTGTTGCCCAGTAAAATAATAAAAATTTTCTTACTTTTGCACATTTGATATAGTTTAATAAATTTCAAAATATTTTTTTTTTAATTCAAATATCGGGCATTTTTTTTCATCACTACTGTTTTTAAAAGGTCTTATTTAAGTAAGATGTATTAAAATGTCTCAGTAATTGTTTCATAAATTTTTAATAATTTCAAGCTGTTTCTGAAAAAACAGATAGGTAAGTTATAGTAAAAGGAAACATTACTTTATAAAATTGCTTCAGTATAATTTTTCTTCCAGGAAAGAAACTCCCACTTGTATTATCTAGTTAGTAAATTCAGCTGACAACTTAAGCATGACGCGTGAAATAACAGAGGGTATTGTAAAATGTGTTATAAAGTGTTAATGTTATGTTTTATAAGAATTGTTCAGTTGTAAATGTTCCTGATTTAAATGACTGGAGAGAAATAATTTATCTTTGCTCAGATCACTGTGCTCCCTGTGATTCTGGTCGTGCACAAGCAGTATAAGAAAGGTCATAGAGGTAAGACCAAAGATCCATGTATTTCAGTATCCTGTCTTCAGCACTGCTTGGAGTCACACAGGAAGAAAGGAAATCACAGTAAATGATCTGACAACAATTATTTTTCTAGGAAACATGTAACTTTCTACTTTGTCTCCGCAGGACTCTCCTCTAAAAGCTGTACAGATGTTGTGGGTCAATCTAATTATGGACACCTTTGCCTCACTTGCTTTGGCCACCGAACCTCCAACAGAGGCTCTGTTGCTCAGAAAGCCATATGGCAGGAACAAACCTCTTATATCCCGTACCATGATGAAGAACATTCTGGGCCATGCTGTTTATCAGCTTACTCTCATATTTACACTTCTTTTTGTCGGTAAGAAAGTTTGTTAGGCTTGTTGCTTAGTTTAGAAACATCTAGGCCTGACATATGAAAATGCTTTAAATGTAACCACTTAATGCACATATATGAAGTCTGTCATAGTTAAAGAGCTAGCAGGGCCAAGCTGTTCAATGGGATCAAAAACAGTGGGGGAAACAGAACAGATGCAATAGGGGGATTTAGTCACCTCTCATATGTTGTTTACATTGGGAAGGGCCTCACTGAACTTTTTTGCCTCCTAACAAAACATAGGTTTACTTTGGCAAAAGTTTATGTTAAACCATAGCACAGAAGGTTAAGTTTTAATCGGAGTATCTAGCTTGCTGCTTCTAGACTCAAATTCATTTTGAGACTCATCATCTTCAGTAGACATGTAACAACAAATTAAGAAAAAAAAACACAACAAAAGTCAAGATCCATTTAACCAATATCTGGAGAAGCTCTAATTGGGAGCAAAATGTTTGCCATAGAAAAGAAATAACGCTGATCTTAAGTAGTATAGCAAGTAATCAGTATTAAGTGATACAAATACTCTGTTTTGACATTTAATATCTAGAATGGTTATTAAAAGGGGTGGGGGAAAATCTAATTTATTGGATTACTGGACTCTTCTTCAGGCCTTGCTAGCAACGGATGCTTTTTATAGGTTGTATTTTGGAGAGAGGACAGCAGGAGGAGGAATGTTTCTTGCTGCAGGGAATAGTAGGGGCTAATAATAGTTTCTGTTGCTCCACAATAATGAGTGAACTTGCTCAAAGGACTGATAATTCTATCAACTTGTGTTCTTGTCACTATGTCATCGCTGTTAAATTGCATGTGTTGTCTTTCAGATATTTTTTTTTTATGTACAGATTTCCATATAAGCTGTAAATGGTAAATTTGTGATTCTTAAGAGTTTTTGAGCTCTATTGTAAAAGTCTTGCTCACCTTACCAACAACTGGCAGCTTATTTGGAATGCTCAAAGGAGAAGATGGTCCATTTACAGTGGAGCTATTTAAACCAGAATAATTGCCAGGTTTTGAAGAAAGATGGCCTGTAACATTGTTAGGCTTACTGTGCATTTTGAGAATGTCTAGCAAGTCTGAGGAAATTGTAATTTCAGATTCCCTAAAACAGGTGTAGGTGGTCTTGGTAATTCATGTGATATGAATCTTGGAATGAGAACTTCTGTGAACTTTATGGGGAGTTTTAATGGGGTTTTGATGAGTTTTATGGTTTAAAGTACTTTATACTGAGCCCTGATGAAAAGAAAACCAGGCTTTTTCACCGTGTTCTAATTACTTCTGTGTCTCTCTGGAAAACCCATGCATGCTTTGAAGGATGCAGCCCAACCAATTTTCTGATAAGCCTAGGAAATACAGTGCTTTCCTTTTTAAACTCCACAAGGCTCAGCTTTGCAGTGAGATGATGTTCTAAACTCAGTGTTTCCATAAATAAATTTCAAATTAATGAGAATTATGTATATTTTGATCAACTAGTACTTCTTTTTTTGTAGTAGGTTTGTGTAGAGACTCGTACATCAAGTTTTTCAGTTTTTTCTATGATGTGCAATAAATACATTGTGTTTGAACATACAGTAATGGCTTTGAGATATCAGGCACATCAGAAATCCGAATGTCACTGTCTAGTTCTGTCAAACTGTAGTATAAAAAAAAAATCTTAATCTCAGCAACTAGGTGTAATAAACTTAATGATGATGTACTGTAACATCATCTGGAACACGTTCAGAAATAAAAACTAATTATTGGTTTAACCACTGCCATTCCACAATAGCAGCATGTTCTGCTTTGCTAATTAAGTGATGCAATGCAATAAGGACAGGTATTCTCACTGAGGAAAGTATTATGCATATATTTGTGTGTGTGTGTGTTGAATAAAAGCAAATAGATATAATGGGTGTGTGTATATATGTGTGTGTGTGCATATCTATAAAAGATAAAATGATGATTTCTGTTTGCTTTCATTAACTTTTTCCCTTATTGTTTATATGTAGTAACTCAGTATTGGAAAACATTCTCCTTATCTCTCTGGAAATATGTCATCTTAAAAATCTCTGCTCTCTCACAGCCTGAGTTTTGTGGCCTCATATTGTATTACTGATATATCTGTGATATCGAAATCTACTTTCTGTCAAAAGACTATAAGCCAAATTCTTTCTTTGGAAATATGCTCATTATTGCCAATGACTTGAATGTGAACTGCTCAAATATCCTGAGGCAAAAAAACCACTCACTGTTAACTTAGGTGATGGAATTAATGACCTCAGGAGAAAACCTGAGGAAACCTTTCTTCTTTCTTCAGAAATTCAGAATATAATGCTAGTGGGATAGCAGAAAAATGTTCAAGTTTTGATTTGCTTTTATTAGCAAAACACTGGTTATGAAAATGAGTCGTATTGTGATAATCTTCTTTGCTCCTATTTCATTCATTATTTACACTTTGAGTGGCTGCCCCGTCCTTACATTAAGAAAATGCCTCTTTCAATAACTGTATGTTATCTGTAAATTTTGCGTATAAGAAAGTGGATGAAAAAATTGGACATGAGCTGGCAATATGCACTTGCAGCCCAGAAAGCCAATTGTATCCTGGGCTGCATAAAAAGAAGTGTGGCCAGTAAGTCGAGGGAGGAGATTCTCCCCCTCTATTCTGCTCTGGTGAGTCCCCCCTGCAGTACTGCGTTCAGCTCTGGGGTCCCCAGGACAAGACAGACATGGAGCTGTTGGAGCGAGCCCGGAGGAGGCCACAAAGATGCTCAGAGAGCTGGAGCACCTCTGCTATGGAGACAGGCTGGGAGAGTTGGGGTTGTTCAGCCTAGAGAAGAGCAAGCTCCGGGGAGACCTTTTTGTGGCCTTTCAATATATAAAGAGGGCTTAGAAGAAAGACAGAGATGTTTTACCAAGGTCTGTAGTGACAGGACAAGGGGCAGTGGTTTTAAACTGAAAGAGGGTAGGTGTGATTGGACAAAAGGAAGAAATTTTTTTTAAATGAGTAGTGAGTCACAGGACAGGTTGCCCAGAGAAACTGGATACTCCATCATTGGAAGTGTTCAAGGTCAGGCTGGATGGGGCTTTGAGCAACCTGGTCTAGTGGAAGGTGTCCTTGCCAAGGTAGGGGAATTGGACTAGATGATCTTTAAAGGTCCCTTCCAAACCAAACCATTCTATGATTCTATAAGAAGAGAGGTCCCTCAGGTGCAGGTATCTTTTCAAAACTTACCTCATTTTTACAGTTACTCATCAGGGGTTGTATCTTGCTTTTTTTTATTGGTCAGATCTAAAAATGATAGTCAAATTATCAAAATAAAGAGTAATGCTTGATAGTATGCTTTCAAACAGACTAGCAGAACAATCAAACCCAAATCTATTTAAACTCAGGAATATCTGTGTGTTTTATCATTAATACGCTTGAATGCTCTTAAAGAGTTACGCTATACTGGCTTAGGAAATGGGTAAAAACTGCTGAAAAGTGGTTGCTTCTAATTATTGTAGAATATCACAAATATTCTGTCAGTGGTCTGAAGCGTTCAGTACGTCAGAAAGAATTGATTTCTTAGACTAATTACTACTTGGTTAGAGGAAAAGTACTACTGAAAACTATTTGCATAGGTATAATGAGTTATTAGATAAAAGTCATCATTTGGGAAGCTTCTTGCTCTGGAAGTTTAGATGTGTCTTGCTCACTGGTGTTATAAATTCTGCCTGTATTACAGTAAGTGCAGAAAGCAAGCTGGTCAAGCAGAGCACAGGAGGCAACTAGCTAAAGCAAACAAGGGAAATATAAATTTAAGCTTGATTAATTTATTCTAGTGGAAACCTTTATTTTTGTCTTATACCTAGGTGAGAAAATGTTTAAGATTGACAGCGGGAGGAATGCACCACTTCACTCTCCTCCTTCAGAGCATTACACCATTATCTTCAACACCTTTGTCATGATGCAGCTTTTCAACGAAATCAACGCACGGAAAATCCATGGCGAAAGAAATGTCTTTGATGGCATCTTCAGAAATCCTATTTTTTGCACTATTGTACTGGGTACATTTGCTATTCAGGTAATGACTTGGGCAAGAATTAGTAACAATTCATCAGAAATTTAAGGGTTTTTTCCTGTGGTTTTTTTTGTTGTTGTATTGGGGGTTTTTTTGTTGTTGGTTTTTGGTTTTGTTTTGTGGTGGGTTTGGTTTTTTTTTTAATCTAAATGCTGTAGGAGGCACACCTAATAGTAAACTACTTGGTTTCACATATTTTCTCAATACCAGTGTCAATGATGAAAGATGTTATGTAGTTGAGGCCAGGCTGGATGAGGCTTTGGGCAACCTGGTCTGGCGGAGGGTGTCCCTGTCCATGGCAGAGGGGTTGGAACTACATGATCTTTGAGGTCCCTTCCAACCCAAACCATTCTATGATTCTATGATAATACAGAATAAATTTTGATCATTATAACTAGGTCAAATCTTAAATTTATCTGAAGATGTACAAAAATAACTGCCATCGTGATTTGTTGCCCTTTCTTCTCTGCTTTTCTTTGTAGATAGTAATTGTCCAGTTTGGAGGAAAACCATTTAGCTGTTCTCCCCTGCAGCTTGATCAGTGGATGTGGTGTGTATTTATTGGATTAGGAGAACTTGTATGGGGTCAGGTAAGCATTCAGGAATATGCAGATTTCTTTTTTTTTTTTTTGTCTTTATAAACCAATGAAAGACCTGATACTGTTTATAATCCTACTAGAGTGTTTCCTTGATCTCTCACAATGTCCTATTTAGCTTACATTGAAATAGAGGGTATTCTCTAAGTACTTCAAGAATAGATATAATCGTTTGGATAATTTATCCCATTTTTCCTTCTGATTTTTGTTAATTTTTATGTTTCTTTCCCTAAGCAGGGTGTGTTATCACCAAGGTTGTCTTTAGTTAGATTATTTTGTGAAAGACATTTGATTCATTACCTAGTCCTCTAGTCACACAAGAAGTATAGTAAGGGCAAATGCACTGTAACCTTGCCTGCAATAGAGTACCCAATATAGCACGTGTGTGTTCAGCCATGGCAAATTTTTGAAAGTGAAAATAAGTTCCAGTTCTGTGGCAACCTACTCATTCCCTTGCTGAAACTGTCATTCTATCAATCCACGGAAGCTTTGTTACTGGTGTAGGACTAAGTCCAATGCATTTAACGTACACCCGCAGTCATCCTCCATCTACCGCGAAGGATGGAAGAGGGGATGAAAGAAAAAGGATTTTTATTTTTCCTATAATAGTTGCAGAAAAGTGCAGTTTAATTCATGTGTCATTTTAAAATTCTGCTACAACCTGCATCATCATTAGCTAATATAAAATTATATATAGATGTAAAAACAAGTATCAGTGAGGTAATTAAATAAGTTATGTGATTATCTGTCTGGAAGTAGTAATACAGATACAATCAGTATTGTTAAAATAGTACATTATTCTTTTATGTACAAATACATATTGCAAAGTTAATAATAATGTTAATTCTTTTGACCTTTGAATGCATTATTAATGTATTTAAGTTGATGTCACCTGACACAGTAAAAAAAATGTGAAAATTGTGAAGTTACATTTTGCCTCTCAGATGTAAAGATACATACAGATCAACTAGTTTGCCACTATGAAGAAACAGGCAAGAAATTGCTGACTGCAATTGAATACTGAAATGGTTCTGATGGAATTGTAATGAATAGATGCTAGCTTTCAAAACTGATTATTTGTTCTCTTGTGGAAAAATTTAAATTTTTGGACAGTTGGGCCTCAGATTTTTTTGCAGAAATAAGCTGAGTCATGACAGTTTTAATGCATATGTTGCTGAAAACCATTGCTATTAGATTGTTCTACTGTAATTATTACTTGAAGATGGGATTTGATTTATGAGCTTTCAGGAGGAAGACCTAAAATCAGTTTGATAATTCCTGCAAAGGAAAGATTTGTTTTCAACTGATTGGAAAATACCAATTTTGAGAGGGGGGGAAGAAAAGCAGGGAAAGGGGGGGAAAAAACCTAGCTGTTTTATTAGATCATTCAGCTGTGAAGAATTTCCCTCAGCCTTTGATCAATGTATTATTTGGCTTCTAAATTTTGTTATATGTGGTTATTACATAATCATTGAAAACTAACAATTACATCAGCATCTGTTTTCAATTTAAAGATGGGCGTAGTTGCCCAAGCCTTACTGAGAGAGCCTAGCTATTAAATTAAAACCAGTACTGGAATACTCACAGTTTTATCACTGAAAAGACTACAATTTTACATAAAGCAAATACAGAGGGGGGGAAAAAAAATGTTTCTCTTGTGATCAGTACTAGTACCAGAAAAGAAATACACAAGCTAAAAAAAAAAAAAAAAAAGGTATTATTTAAATATTTACATGATTTACAGTCTGTGGCAAGTACTCTCTTCATGGAGCTCTACAGTGAGAGAGATTTATTTTCCTTTAGAAGAGGTGCTTCTCTTCCTTAGACTTTTCTCTCCCACTCTGACCAATTCTAGTTCAGCACAGAACAAATTCGTTATCTCTGTTTTGTCAGTCTCCTGAACTTGCTGTTTTTGTGAACCACTATAACCAATCAAGATTTTCAAGTTCCGAAGTTAAAGTTGGCACTTTTTAAAGTGATATAAGGTGTAATTTCTAGAAAGCCAATCTGAGATGCTTTGAGGGACAGTTTTCTTAAAGGTGGCCCTCATAATTTCTGAAAACCAAGTCTTTCTAAAATATTTCATGTTACATTCCCAGAATTATTGATCCCTTTCTAAAACTGCAATAATTTTCCTGGGAATATTTCGTTCCTTAATCTACATCCAGTCTATTGAGTCTGCTGTTACCTGAACTGGGCAGGTGTCTGCAGATATGAAAAACAAATGAATAAACAAAAAAGACGTGTAAACACCCTAAGAAAAGAATTAGAGCAGAATCTATCAGCCTGGCTGAGAGAAGTGGTGAAGGAGAGGTATGTTCTATCGCACATAATCACTACCAAATACAGTTGTTTTTATGTGTGCTGTCTTGCAAGTACTTCATCACCATCAGTTTCATCAGATACCACACAGTCTCAAGTAGCTTCTTTCTGTAGAGTGCTGGCATTATAGTATTTTGAAAGCTGGGAAGCTGAAGCAGTTTCAGTAAGTATTTAAATAACTAGCACTTACCTTTTCCTTTTTTTTTCCTGTTCTGTTATTGCTTGTATCACACCAATTCATTAATTTCCCAAGTTTACGTCTTGTTTTTCAAACCCCAGAAGAATGCATTTTTAAAAAGGTACTGTAGTAGTGTAGAAACTGTTTTGTTTGTTTGTTTTTTGACAATTCATTATCTGTCTTTAAAAATAACATAATAAAAGTGGCGTTGTGGATCATGAAGTTCAAGGAGACCCTCCACCAACTCAACAGTTTGTTTTCATCCTGAAAATACTTGGTACCTTTTCATGTGTCTTCACTATATCCATTCCAGTTTTCCAAAACTTTAAGATATATCCTCACCAACTTTCCTGCAACTGTCTGATTCTATCTCCAGCTTTCACACATTTGGGCTTCAGAGATGCGATTGCTCACTGCTGAAACAAAGACAAAAAAGAAAATTGTAGCGCTTTTTTGCTAAATGGGTCTAATAGTTAAATTGTAGATTATTTTTAAGTGTTCAATATGTTCCAGGTAATGTCTTGTTTGAATAGCCATATGCTGATATTTTTATTCAAGCTGACAAAAGAAATTGGAACAAAGAGAAAATGACAGCTCAAGAGCGTAACACTGAAATGTACTTAAAATAATTGGGTTATAACATTGTCTAACTATGGTATTTGCAAATTTTAAAGATTATTAGCCATCTCCTATATTAATTACTTCCAAGGACCACTTTGGTGGACAAAGAGAATAAGAAGAGGGGCTGAGTTAATCAGAATTTGTTAGTAATAAGGACACAGAGTAAGAGATAGCCCTATGAGGTCCAACACGGAGACAGTCAAACACACACCTTTCAAAAATGGTATTTGCAAATTTTAAAGATTATTAGCCATCTCCTATATTAATTACTTCCAAGGACCACTTTGGTGGACAAAGAGAATAAGAAGAGGGGCTGAGTTAATCAGAATTTGTTAGTAATAAGGACACAAAGTAAGAGATAGCCCTATAAGAGGTCCAACACGGAGACAGTCAAACACACAGCTTTCAAAAATCTCATTTTTGATAAATGCTGAGAAAAGCATTTCAAGTTGCTGAAACCAAGGGAAGCTGAATACATGAACTAATGTAGTGTGAGAAGATTTATAAGCATGAGATGCAACTATTTTTCAGCTCTGTGGTGGGTTGACCCTGG